CCATTAAGTTCATTTTAGTTCAATTCAGCTCAATTCAGTAAATCGAAACATACCCACAATCCAGATGTTTTAGTTAAACTAATATGTAATAAGTGTTTCAGTTAACTATGACATTAATTTTAAAAACAAAACAGGAATACATGTAAGATAATATTGGATCGTTCTTGTAAGTGGTTCGCTACACATAAACAACTTAGGGTCTATTTTGTCCAGCTAAATTTCAGTTCAATTTAGTTCAATTCAGCTTCAATTAATTTAGTTCGGTTCAGTTCATTTCAGATCCTAATTTCCTCATTTCATAAACAATTGATTTCAGCTCTATTCAGTTCAGTTCCAATCAGTTCAGTTCAACTGTTATCAATAAATCAGGCCCTTAGTGCATGACCCACCAATTAATCCCATGCATATCATTAGGATTAATATATAATAACCTAATTTAAGGTAGATTATATTGTTGATGGTATGAATGTATGCATGATTGGTTGGCGGCAGTGAGTATAAGATGAGTAGTGTAGTGAGAGTGGGGGTGAGTAATGGCATCATGAAAACGTCATTGATGGAGAAAGAAGAGTGTTAGTACGAAAAACAAAAGGGACGAAATGAAGAAAGGATGATAAATAAGTCAGAGGCCCATCATTGTCTCAATAATATAATCAGATTGCATGTGAGAATGACACTATTACATACATACATACATATACTTCTGTTCTGTGAATACATACAATAATAATACTGTATATATATGTGAAGAGAGATGCTCTACTTACACTGACTCATTCGATGGAGTTGCTCAGTGACTCAGTCAGTCAGTCAGTCCTACATACATACTGATTACCTTGTGAAGTTGTGAGTCCTCCCTTCACTTCATTCCATCCCTTAATTAGGGCCTTAAGTTGCTTAGCTTGCTTCATTTTAATCTTTGTTTTTCTCTTTTATATTCCTAGCTCTCTATGTACTTGGACCATGTTTTGGCCATGGTGCTACTGTATCTGTTTGTGAACATGGGACCATATATTGGGCTCCGGGCTAGTTAGATTTTCTAAGAAGTTTGTTGACTTACCACATCAGTATCAAAGAAATTTATGATCGTACCAGTCCTGCACCATGTTCCTTCAGATACTTAAGGGGAAGGGGATAGGGTAACTAATTAAGGGCATGTTCTGATTTACTAAACTGAACCGAACTGAACTGATTGGAGCTGAACTGAACTTAAATGAATTTTTTATGAGAGAAGAAAATTAGAAGTTGAGCTGAGCTGAACCGAACTGAACTAAATACAGCTGAAATGAATTTTCATGAGAGAAGGAAATTAGGAGCTAAATTGAATTAAACTGATTGAAATTAAACTGAATTGAATTAAAATTAAGGTGAAAAAAACAAACTCTAGGGATTTTTGTTTCCAAACTCTGCGTTCTTATAACCTCAAGATTACAAGATAATTACTCACCAATTACATCAAACCTTAGCTTGTTTGACATAGTGAAGTCCTATAGATCCAATTCAACTACAAGTAAATGGTTAACCGAATTAACCGCCAATAAAAAGTAGCCATACATATAAACTGCATGCAAACGTAAGCTCCTCGTGGTAGTACCAAATTTAGGATCTTTATCTCATATTTTGCAGCTTTTACTAGTGGTAAAACTACACCAAGAATAGCCAACAAATATGTTTATTTTTCAACTTTTTTATTTTTTATTTTAACAAAAGGAAGAGAGAATTTCCCAAGCTTTGAGGCAAACTTTAAAAACTGGCACTAACTGCAGGAAGCAATGCCTTAAAAAGGAGATATTTGCGTCATAAAAAAATCTTACTCTGAAAAGCTTCACTTTTGTTACTTGCAATAATTTCATACACATATTTACGAAGTATTGCTTTCTCAAAATTATTGGAAACTTATTATAGTATTATTAATATATCGTCCCTTGACCATTATGTATGTAGTTGCGGCCCATCTTTAGGACCTTGGTATACTTCATTTACTCATATATACAATCAATTGGAGTTAGTTTTATTATAGCTCAATGCATGATAAATTTGTTATTTATTCTATGATTTTGGTTGGATAGTAGACACATATATTTGGATGAGTGTTAAAATAAAATTTGTAATTAAAAACTGGTTTCATTTATTGAACTAAACTGATTGGAGCTAAATTGAACTGAACTGAACTAAATATCTTATGAGAGAAGGAAATTGAGAACTGAACTAAACTGAAATTAAGCTGAAGAGAACAGGGCCTTAGTTGTTGGAAGTGAGATTTCTACACTTCATTTATATATGGATAACAAAGTAGATTCATATTTGTTAAGAGGCTTACGGATTTGAGAATTATGTATGCTATGGTTAGACCATAGAAATTCTATGAATTCTTAATAATAAGCTAAAGTGTTAACGTTTGACTAGCTTTAATCTCCGAAATTTTCTTTCAACATTTACTTTAATTTGTCTACATGGTATGCTAGTTTAATTTTGATATACATAAAATAGTATCCATCTAATTTAAAGGCTACAAATAAGCCAAATATAGGTTAGTTAAGGGCCGCCACAAGGATGCTACGTACTTGTAGTTTTTATTCATTTTTAACACCTCTACCGTTGAGAATTATTGTAGAACGTCTGCTACATACATTATTTAATTTGTATATCATGATGATGATTAGATAGTCATAAAGTAATACCCACATAAAATTCTCCATCCTAGTACAAAGACATTGATATATAGCTCATCAATTAGCTAGCTAATGTAATAGTCATCTAGCTCTAGCACCTGACAAACACATTAATAGTCTAATTAACTATAGGAATTTGTTTACAAATCAAAGTTAAACACAACATAGTCTTGTGGATCTTCAAAGTCCAAGTGCACTAGCTAGCTTAGTAATCATCAATCAAATGAAAAGGTAGCAAAAATAAGACTGATTTCTTAGGAAAATCAAACCTAGGATAGTAGCTAGAAATGACATTGAAAACGTTAGTTAGTTGCATTTAGATCCACAACATACAATAGATAGATATGTAGGTGTTTGTTGCAATAATAATAGTACAATTAATAGAGTACAAGTTAAGTCCAAATTTAAAGAGTTATAGGTAGAACCGTAGAAGCATGCAGTACATTTTTTAGGCATCTGCCAGTTCATTCAATGATCTTTAATTTAAAGCCTTGACTTTGATACAGACATCCGTAGACCACGCACGCATGATGCAATTCAACATTGTACTTTATCCAAGATATTCAATGCCAAAAAAAAAAAAAAAAAATAAATAAATAAATAAAGGGTAATGTTATATGTAGCCCTAAGGGCTATATATAAGTATTAAATATACTCTTGGAAATGATATAAAATTAAGAATTCATGACAAAAACACGCGTAAATCAGTGTAATTAGTGTTCATATTTTTATGATTTCTTAACTTTTTACGATTTTCAAGTGAAAATTTAATACTTATATGTAGCCCTAAGGGCTATGTATAACATTTTCCATAAATAAATAAATAAATAAGTGGGTAATACTTTGTGTGAATTGTGTCTAATGAAATATAAATTCTCCATGCTTATTTAACTTGACAATGGTCAAATTATTTAGTAGTGTATGCATTGATTAGTGTGTTAATTTTGACCATTTCAGTAGTTATTGTGCGGATACTGGGAAATAATTTAGTACTTGAACAAGATATACCAATATGTTTAAGGGTATGTTCTCATTGATTGAACTGAGTTGAGCTTAATTGAACTGAACTGAACTTATTAAAGCTGAACTGAACTGAACTTATTAGATATGAACTGAACTGAACTTATTAGAGTTGAACTGAACTGAACTTAAAGAACTGTTCTCTTACATTGAAATTCAGTTCAGCTCAGTTCAGTTCAGCTCCTAATTTCCTTCTCTTTTATAATATTCAGTTCAGTTCAGTTCAACTCAGCTCAATTCAGTTCAGCTCAGCTCAGTTCAGTCAATGAGAACAGACCCTAAGTACAGTAAATTTTTTATGATTAGAGCTTTTTTCTAACAAGATATGAAGTATATTATTATTATTATTATTATTATATAAATGACGTTTTACATGTGGAAGTAATTTTTTGGTATTAGAGCTACTTTTTAACAGGATATATGGATATAAATGACATTTTACATGTGGAAGCAAAACTTTTAAGATTAGAATTATTTTCTAAAATTGATCCTAACATAATTGATTTATATAGATTGAACTCATAAATGGATATTTACCACAATAATAGAAATTCTACTAATAGTAATTCCTAGTAAGCAAGATTAGGTCAAGACTTCTAACTTTGGGGATAGAAGATTATGTGCAATAAAGGATGTGGACTAGAAAAACGCGAGAAATATTCTCGAATCTAGGTAGTGGAGTAGAAACATGAAACACAAAAATCATTTTCGAATATTGACACAAAGCATGCAATTGAAAGGATCTAAAAATGCATTAACGTGTTCATTTAACATAAGATTCTACTAAAACAAGTTGAGAAATATGTCACAAAAATTGTAACTTTTCCCTTTTTAAACACAAGTGAAGACTGAAGAGAGGCAAATGTGGAAGCAAATCAATAATGTACAAAGGAAGGTTAGGAATTAGAAAGATTTGGTTCATAATTGGATTATTGCTTAATGCAAGTTGAGAAATATGTGTTACCAAAAATGTCGTTTTTTCACATTTTAACATCACCATAGAGGAGTAGATTAATACACAAAGGAAGCAGTAGCAATAAGGTACATACTTAGACTATTGCTTAATGTAAGTAGAGAAATTACAAAAAAACGTCGCTTTTCACATTGTATCATTCATACGATCATTTTCAATTCAGTTCAGCTCTAATTAGTTCAGTTCAACTCTAATAAGTACAGTTCAATTCAGCTCAATTTAGGGTTTGTTCTCTTACGTTGAAATTCAGTTCAGTTCAGTTCCAAAAAGGCACGTTTTAATTAACATTGCTATAGAGGCAGATCGATGCATAAGGAAAGGGGCATGTAATTAGATTGCTTAGTGCAAGGGTTTGTTGATCATCTTCATTTAATTATACTTTGTACTTCTTTATAATGCTTTTACAAAGCTTAATTATTTGAATTATTTAAGGTCCAATAAATGTGCAAGAAGTAATTAAAAGAAAAATATGCAATTTCTGTGAAAATCTTATATTACATTGCTAAGCAAAACAAACTAAAAACCTACACTAATCCAAAGATGTACATCAGCCTTTGCAAAATTGGATGAATTTACAAGACACCAATTAAAATTGACTAACTCCCAAAAAAAAATAAAAAAATAAAAAGCCAAATTATACCACTCAAAATTTAAACACTTTATTTCCTCAAATTATTTTTTCTTTTTTTTTTTGTTATACTTTTCTCAAAACCCTCGCTCATTTCCTACAACTAGTACTAGCCTTGTTGAAAATTTATTTACTGAACAATAAATCATGACCGTTGATTCCATTGATGAGCAATATCTTGAGCAACTTTAACAGCGTCCGATGCAGTCCCCAACAAACCCCTTCTCGTGAATCCAACCGTATACAATCCTTTCCCTCCTTTCCATCCATTTGGAAATGCCACTTTTGGCATCCCATCATCACTAAAAAACTCACAATCCTGCATTTCATAACATAACACACACACAATTAATATCTCACTTAATTAACATCGTTAAACTGATGATTGAAATTCAAGATTGATTTAATATTTTATCAGTCACGACTCACGAATATTATAGTAATTTACGACACCTTGCTAGGGTGTACGTAACTGCAATTTTAATTTACGTGTAACATGTACAAAAAATGTTACAATTAACAATTTTAACCCTAAAATCGGACAATTACAAAAATAGGCAAGTAGCAAAAGGGCAAAAAGAACAGTCTCAAATTTCCCCTTTTTTTTATCTAAAAAATAATAATTTCACCTTAGGGATGGGAGAATTAAGAGATCCCAAGATGAAAGGTACACATCATAGGAGAATTTAACCAGATTTTCATTTTTATTGTTTTTTTGTATGAAAAAAATTCCCCTAGTAGAGGAAAATTTTGTCTTAATTAAAGAGTATATGGTATAATACAAATATGCAGTGTCTGAATTTCCCCCGTTGTTCTAAGATAGAGAGGAAAATAACGTTTTGTAGGGTACTGTCACAAGAAAGAAAGCGATAGATGAGGATGAGAATAAGGATAAAAATGCACAAAACAATAAAAAAAATTAACACATTTAATTTCCCCGATTCTATTTACATACGAATACTTATAACGAAATAGGACAAGTAAATTGAGACACGCTAAGTAGAAAAATATGAGCCGGGTATATGGCGAGACAGAGGGAGTACACTGTACAAGTAATAAGAGAATTTTACCTTGAGCCAAAAGGGCACATTGCTCTTATATCCAGTTGCCAAGATTATGGAATCAAATTCTCTCTCTTGACCATCTATAAATTTGGCCCCATTCTTTGTAATCTCTTTCACTCCTTCCATCACCTATAAAATAAAATATTTTTATTAATAAAACAAAAAATTATTAGCATGAAAATAACACGTCATAACTACTTTAAAACTAATTTTTCATCCTTTTGTACGAGTAGTATTTAAGCCCGTGCGATACACATATTAAAACATACTAGTACTTGGTATGGAGTAATGAAAATAATTAGTGTGTAGTACCTCAATATTTCCTGATTTGATTAACGAAAGTGCACCCACGTCAAGCACCGGGGTCTTCCCGGTGGCATTCTTAAGCTCAATCGGACCGGTTTTTGGCCGTCGTAGGCCTAACCGGTCCGTGTTACCTAAGGTAAGATTCGCCACTAATAATAGAAACTTGTCTACTAATCTCAAAGGTAGCCACTTTAGTAAAGCCATTGCAACACCAAATGTTGAGAAGCCAAACATTTCCCTTGGCAAAACATGCACCTACAAATTTACACCAACAAACAACAATTAGTATGCCAAACTACAACTTTATTATAGCATATAAAACATTATAATATCAAATGGGTTACAATTTTATTTTTTTTAATTAAGATATGTACACAATTTTTAAATAAGGAGCATCAAAATTCAAAATGTAATACTTGTATATATGCAATTTCAAAGCAAAAAAAGATGGTTGCTTTAATTTCATGGACCATATAATCAAGATAAGGTTTTTTTCTTCTTTTTGGCCAAAATACACTCTATAACATTTGAAGCATAACAATATTATTATGATTTAATAGTACAATTTATACAATAATCTCAAAGACATAATAATTTAACACAACCAAAGGAAAATAATCACATTTAAAAAACACATTCAATGCAAACTCAAATAAGTCAACCAGTCAAACCCCATAAAATATTTTTCAAAATATTAAAAAAAAATTCATTTTACAGACTAAAAATTTAATTTTAATTTTTCTAGAGAGAGAAAGTTGATATTTTTTAGAGAGAGAAAGGGCTTACAGAGTTTCTAACCACCATGAAAGGCATAGCATTGTATCTACAAAGGTCCATACTAACTTCCATACCAGAATTTCCACACCCAATTACCAAAACCCTTTGATTTTTAAACTCAATTCCAGATTTATACAAACTAGTATGCAAAAATTTCCCCTGAAATTTCTCAATTCCTTGAATTTCAGGTATCAAAGGCTCTGCATTTTCACCAGTTGCAATAATCACCCATTTCGAAATGTACTCGATATCTTTAATCTTCAATCGCCATACCCTAGTATCTGTATCGAAACCGGCACTCTCAACTTCTTGATTGAAAACAGGGGAGATTTTGAAGAATGCAGCATATGCTTCCATGTATGAAATAAACTGTTTTTTTGAAGGGTATTTTGGGTAATCTTTGGGAAACCCCATTAATGGAAGCTCACAAAATTTTCTTGGTAAATGAAGTTTGAGACGATCATATGTTTTTTGCTGCCATAATGAAGCAATGCAATCTGATCTTTCAAGGATTAATGAAGGAATCCCCTGTTTTCGTAAACACGCCGCGACAGCTAAGCCTGAAGGCCCTGCTCCGACTATTATAGGACCATGAAATTCCACCATTTTTGTTGCTAATTTTGTAGTTTCATCTTCTTCACTTTTACAATTCATTTTTGTGTGAATTGGGTTGCTCTGTTTTTTAATCACCCTTAATTTTCAATTAAAATGCTCTGTTTTTGGGGGAAATAACAGAGTAAGGCGTGAAGATTAAGGTGAAAGATTTGGGCTTTTTGTGTGTTTTTGTTTGTGATTTTCTCTCACTAGATTTTTAGAGTGAGAGTGAGAGGGAAATTGAAGTTTTTTTCTTGGGAAGATTTGAGGAGAGAGTGAAGAGGTATAAATACATATTTATACTATGTATTTATAATTTTTTTTATTATGCCTTGGATTTTCAAATAAACATTTTTTTTTCTTTCTTTTGCCTTGTTATAAGTATATTCCACTTTCATTTTAAGAATGTGTGACTCAAGCTCCATTTTTTGTTATTGGGAAGCTAAAGAGGTAAAGAGATCTTCAAACCAAATCTTATGTTAGCCTTAAGTAGTTAAATCACTTAAGTGTGGTCACATCCCTCATAGGTTAGTACAAATGTGTGTGAGTGTGTTACACTATTTGAGCTCTAACTTACCTACTTGTTGTGCTTACGGGCATAAATCTTGGTTATATACGACTTTAAGTTATGAAACTATGTTTATTTAGACACGGTTCATCAGTTATAAAATTTGTGCTTCTATATGTATCAAGAAGGGATTATACTACTTTATAGAGTGTATGTAATTTTTTTTTCTTCATAAATTATGAAATTATCATAAGTTATCTTTGTCATTTTACGATTGTAATTAATAGATGTGTAGTTGTGTAGTATTCTTATGTATAAACAACTAATATAAACTTCTTTAATTGGCTAAAGCTTTAAACCATGTTATCCAAGAGATTAAGTTTCGTGTACATTATTGTGTCGCTGTAACAATCCATTCTTGCTACATAGGCTTCAAGGACTCTATGTGATGCCAATCTACCATGCATGCAACATGCTGCATAGCTTCGGGAATAAACTAAAATTGTTGCATGTGCGTGTGAAAAAGCCCAAATATAGGCCCATTTTTGAAAATGAAACTTATCAAACCCTCAAAGAGAATAATTTGATAACAAGATAGCAAAATTACCGATGTACATTGTAAAAGTCCTCTTTTGTGTTAAAAATTACATTGTACTCCGTAAAAGTTAAGTAAATACGAAGATCATTAGCAAATTGAAAACAGTTTCTTTTGAAGTTTTGAGGTAGTAGAAAGAAAGCTATGCGAGATTAAGAAGTATTATTTGTACAAAATTTGCTTGACAAAATTTGATCTAAAACTATTGTAACTATAAACTATTTGGTAAGGATTATATGCTGATCACTATTTTAAAATTGTTGTCAAACACGCCCCATAATACGTTGTTTAGAGCTTGATTGAATCGGTCTATCCTTGAGTCAAACGACTAAAATATACTTTGTATATGAGTATTTGGCACTAATATTCATCAATTTACGTATGCATGTCATGTAAATTGACACAAGAGAAAGAGAGATGAAATAGATGCGATGAATGATGGCAAATTAATTGACAAAGCACAGTTCTAAAATACCATGCCACCATGCCGTCAAAACAAGGAAAAAAATATTAATTTGGACATTCTTCGTTGATTAAGCTCTAGTAGAAATTCACTCATAAAATTATATGTGTCTTAATCGTTACAGAAAAATATAAAAATTTAATTAGCTTAATTAGGTGTATTTTGATGATTCATGACGTTCTTTTTATCATGCATGACATATTGATATGCATGTAAAAAAGTGATTGATAGCTTATTTAATCTACTATATACGTTGTTTTAAGAGTTGATTTTTTGTTTAAATTACGATATACGTTGTTGTTATGAGTTGATTTTTTTTTAGGGATGACCAAGCTAATGTGTCAATAGTTGATCTGACTTGATAACTTATCTTAAAAAAAATTCGGGTTAGGGAGTTATTTAAAACGTTGATATTTTCAACTAACTAGGAAATATATAATAAGCTAAGTGAGCTTAATTATAACCTTTAAGCTAATTTATATGTAAACATTGAATATATTATTGGCAAATGTGAAAGTGTGAAAAATTACAAGATATTTTTTTTGGTAAAATTTGTTTAATTAATTAGTTCTTAATATAAGAATGAACTAATATGTTACTATACTATTTTGTCAAAACGATCTAAAAAACAATACGGAATAATATTTGTGCTTTTTATATTTGATGAAATTGTCAAGAGAGATTAATCATCGAAAAAAATTTCATTCATTCTTCAATGAGTTTTACACACGGAATTACGGCAAAATTGATACAAATTAAACTTTTCATTGTCAATTTTATTGTGTATAATTTAATTTAATTTTTTATTTTTTATTTTTTTTTAAATTGCAACGTTAGGTTATCAAATTTTTCATGCCAATGCATACTTAAATTTTATTTTAGTAATATTTATTTTTGAAAAATTGATATTTTGAAAGGATATCAAAATGGATTTAATTAGCAAGATCCAATGTGACTAAATATTTCTACCCAACAAATAAATTAAATCAAAAGATAGTCTATGAAATGTGAGATAAATAGGAGTACATAATTTCAAATGGAGGAAGTATTTTTACCATCTTCAATGAAACACATCGTTGTAATACATCCTCCTTCAATTCATTTGCCACTATTTAATTTTTGAAAGAGCCACTATGTAATTTAATTAAGAGAAATACATAGTTTAAACCATAAAAAAATCTATAACTTGTACTAGGTGACGTTCACGGCCAACATGCTTGAACTCAATTTAATAATAGAGTTATCACATTGTTAATTATAAAAATATAAAGTATTAAGATGTAGTTAGGACCCTTCATGCAGTATTTGATCTATAAAAACAGGAATAATATGATAATGACTTGAATAACATTTCACTTGAGCTGACTAATTTAGAACTTTTTGATAATTAATTAAATTGATTGCAATTACGCAGAACTACGTGAGCAACTAGGAATAACCACATTATTCAAAAATTGACCGATTACAGTGTTGCAATTCTTGCAAATATCCTTACACACATACTTCGTATTAAGGTGTTGGAATAGTGGTGTTTATCGCGGTCATTAAGGGTCTGTTCACATTTACTTAATTTCAGTTCAGTTCAGCTCCAATCAGTTCAGTTCAGTTCAATTCAGCTCCAATCAGTTCATAAGTTCAGTTCAGTTCAGTTCAACTTCTAATTTCATTCTCTTATAAAATATTCATTTCAGCTCAGTTTAATTCAGTTCACTTCAGTTCAACTCCAATCGATTTAGTTCAGTAAATATGAACATGCCTTAACTATAGAATAGTGTTGCAAGTCTTTGTATTACAAGAGTAAAATTAAAATACAGATAATTCGTTCAAAAAAATTTCTTATCTCTGCACTTTACTCTTTTTATTTTATTATTTTTTTTTTACTGATAACTAGTTATTATACATACTCCGTATACCATACAAATTGGAGACTATTGATATAATAAACGCTTTGAGACTTTATCCATACGACCATACGGGTAGGAAATTAGTAGGTTTAATATTTGTACATTGATCATAGCCTCCTAATTATTCAAACATAATACGGAGTATAATTAATAATTTTGTTGATTGTTCTTATTTTCATATAAGGGCGACCTTCGCTAAAAGGCTTGAACTCAATAATTAATTGGTATAATTGTTGGCCAAAGTCAATATAAAATTGAGATCTAGATAAAACTAATAAAAAAAAAATTAGACATTCTTTTCTTCTTCTTCTTATTTTATTTATGAGTATTAAATTAATGACTACAATACATGGCTAATATTGACTTTTTTTTACTAGCATAATACTCCGCTCCCTACGTCCCTTAAATATTGAAATGTACACACACACACAAAAAAAAAAAAGGTTATACTACATATATGTTTACATTTTTAAAAAAAATTCTTGTAAAAATTATTTAAAGTTACAATCAAATGAATACTAGATGAAACCCGTGCGATGCACGATTTATTTGAATATTTTAAAAAATATTTTTTTTTGTATTTATGTGCTAATTTGTTACATATTTAGATAATATTTCTAATATCAAAAGGTAATATTTTATATTTAATTGATTTAAACTTAAAAATATCATTCGCCAGTTTTTCTTACGTGACATTTGAATTAATTAATTTTAAAAGAAATTTATAATCTCTTATTTAATTGGCTACCACTAAAATTTATAATCCTACATGGCAAACTCAAAAAATTAAATCCTACGTGGCTCTCTAAAATCTCGGGAAAAAACTCACTTTTATATATATATATATAGTTTTGTGCCCCGTGCGATGCCCGAGTTGTTAAATGAAGATAAATGTTTAATATAAATGTCAAATTTTTAAATATATCATTGATACAAAATTAGTTAGGAACTGATGTGCTTTTATGAACGATTTGCTATATCGAAATTTTATTAACAAAATTATAATTCAATTTGTAGCAAAATTCTTGTTTTTAATTGAGTTTACATACTTGTATAATGGTTTATTGTAAATAAAATTAAATAATATTGGAATTGACTTATTATTAGTATTAGTTTTAATCTCAATATTAAATCATTATATAAGTAACATGTAGAACTCCATGCATAAGTATATTCTAATGGTTGACATTCCAATGAATAAAATTGCAGCATGATGATGCACAATAACAGAGACAATTATAGACGGCTACATGTGAATAGTTTGATCGATTTTATATGAAGTACTACGTACAAAGTTGGAATTATTTTTTAGTCATTGATCAAAGTACAATTTTTATTTGTTCCATTTCATTTCATGCATTTTGCTTGCCTCCTTATTTCCAGCTAGCTTGAGGAATCTCTAACAAGCTATATTGTACGTATTACGTATACCACTCCTCTCCAAACTCACGTGGAACCAAAAGTTGTAAATCGCATATAGGTCATGTGTGGCATTTTGGCAAGTGGCATCTTTAGTTATCGTGGCCACGTCTAGGACGTATAAAGAAAAATGACGTAGATTGATGAAGTGATTAGCAGACTTAAAATTTTTCCAACTAAAATTAAACCTTACTTTATTGAATAGGTTTTGACTATATACTTTTGTACCAATAAATTTAGATTCGTTATAAGTCTATTGTTTAGAGCCAAATTAAGCTGTGAGATATTCATGAGATTAGCAAATATTAGCTCCGTATAAGATAGCACAAGTTCGTTCTAGTGATGACATATACAATTAATGACAAAATAAGTTAGATAGAGCAAAGCTAAGCATAAGTTTTTTTGATGATCTAGATAAGGCTATGCTATCTTCACTTTAGTTAATTAAGATGTTGAATTATTTAAAGTATAGTTTGAATTTTCAAGTTTACTACCGTGTGAAATTATCATTCGATTTATAATGCATGAATATATAGTCTGAGCTAATTTGATTTTGATCTGATTCCATTTTTGCAAGAATAAGTAGTAAGAAATGAGAATACAATAAATAAAAAAATTGATACACTCTTGCCAACTAGCCATGTTCTTTTCTTAGCATGAGTACAAGTTATTTAGAGGACAAGGAAGTTAATTATGAGATTCTAAACATCTAACCAATTTCATCCATAAATTAAGCATGATCTAATAAACAAGAAAAAGACAAAGGATATATCTTAAATGGAGTCCACTTTATGTGCTAGTATTAATTGAAACTAGATTGAGTCTAGCTTAGCTAGGTAGAAATTAAAATAGTAGTCAGAAATTAAATGTGTTGAACTTTTGGTGTGTTTATTTAGCTTAGGGTTAGCTATGAGT